ATCATTAATCCGCCGCTTTAATACGGATTAAATCCTTTTTTTTAATACCACAAATATTAGAAATATTAAATCAGTCTCATTTAGAAAAGATTGTATAAAACCAAAAATTGTTCCGTTGTACAATGTCCCGTGGTCTTAGAGGGTGATATGATTTGTAAACTTTTATATATAATAAATAATCATTAAATTTTAAAATAAAAACAAATCACGGGACGGGTTAAGAAATTACAGAACGGATTATATTGCGGAAAGGATTTATATGGCAGACGAATTTGAATCAATATTTATATACCGCTTTAATACGGATTAAATCCTTAGTTTTTTAATAATTGTCTCGTGGATTCGTGGTATACCGTTACTTAATAACAATTGTAAACTATAATATAAATAATATGTTATAAGGATATACAATTTATAAAATATTTTTATACTAACTTTAAAATTAAATCATCCCGCGGTGTACCGCGGGTTAAAATCTAGTTAATACAATAAAAACAAAGCAAAATCTTTATAGTCTGCCACATCAGCTTTTTGGTGTTGTACTATTGTTAGAAGTTGACACCTTATTAAAAAAAAATCTAAGCAACCTAAAATAAATAATATATATTAGTTTTGTACCCTGCCATAGATGAAAGGGATTGGCTATAAGAAGAAAAACAAAATGCTCCCCTCTTTTGGGCTTAAGACTCTCTTTCTGAACCAGTGTCTTTCATTAGGTTAGAAGAGCTTTGACCAGATTAAAACTTTATCTCTTTCGACGATTTCAACCTGTTTTGCTCTTGTGTAGCCGTTTATGTCTTGTTTCTCTTAAGGTTCTAGTGTTTGAGTTGAGTTTCTTCCCGATAAGCTTGAGTCTTCGATTCTCCTGTCCTCAATTTCTTCCCGAGAAGCGGGTTGCGTCGTGTGCTCTGTTCAGACAAGCTCTAGATCTGTTGCTCGTTTTCGTCTTTTGTTTGGTCTGCAGCTCCGTGTAGTTTTCAGATTCTCAGGTGCTGGTTTTGTCTCTCGGTCTCCCTGAAGGTTCTACAGATGATTGGGTTTGTTTTCTAAAAGCTCGTGTCTTTGTGACTCTGGTTCACGGTTTTCTTCCCGAGTCGACTCAATTTTCTCGATATGTTTCTCGTTTGCGGCAAAAAGTTGGTCCTAAAGTTTATATTACCTCCCAGTTTTTCGTTTGCTGGTTTTTCCTATCCTTGGTAGCTATGTCTTCAGCTATGGACAAAGCTCTGATGGCGATTTCTCTAGAAGAGGAGGATGTCCCATTTAATTTGCCTGACTTGCCAAGTTTTTCTTCCTGCAAAGAAAACGTTTTGAGCTTGGTTGGTCGGACTCTAAATCCTGAATGTCAACCGATGAAGAATTTGGTTCGTAATCTTCCCCGTAAATGGAAAAAGTTGGGAAGGGTTAGAGAAGTTGCTCTCTCTAAGGAGAAATTTCAATTCTTTTTCAATTCTGAGCACGATCTAGAAGAGGTTCTAGAAAAAGGGATTCATAGTTTCAATGAATGGTCTGTGGTGGATAGATGGTATGAAAATCCACCCGATGATTATCTGCAGTTTACACCGATTTGGATTCGGATTTGGAACCTGCCAATAAATTACTACACTGAGCAAGCGATTACGGCTTTGGGTGAACCGATTGGGCGTGTAGTTGCTTTTGACACTACATAGTCTCAAATAGAAGATTATGTGAGGGTTAAGGTGGTTTTCGATGTCTCTAGGCCGCTACAAAGATCAAAGGTTGTCAATCTCCTAAAGGTGGTACAGCTAACGTGTTTTTTGAGTATGAAAGAGTGCAGAAAAGATGTTATGAGTGTCAGAGAATGACTCATGAGAAAGATTTCTGCCCAGTTCTTATTAAGAGAAGACAAGACTCTTCTGATGCTAGAAGGGCCGGTCTTCCTGTTTTAAAGCCAAAGAAGCTGCTGGTGCTGAATGAATCAGATCCATTGTTTGGGATTCTGAATGAAGACCAAGTTGGTATTGACCCGGTTACTGGTAGACAAAGAATTAGCGGAGGTGCTTGAAGGTATGAGGCAGTACATGCGAGTAGCAAGTGATGAAGAAAGATTGCTTAGAGCTGACAAGGTTAGACTTTCTGTTAGAGATGTGGAGAAAGATCCTATGGCTGCAAAATCTATTCTGAGGCTGGAGCCTTCTCCTATTTTTCATCAAAATGTCAACAAAAGCAAAGGTTTAGTTTTTGGTTACGATTTTCCTTCTGCTCCCTCTTGTGATGGTGTTTTGATGGAAAAGGATGCGTTGGTTGTTGTTGGGGCTAGCAGTTCTAGTGCTGATAGTCTGTGGAGTTTGGGACATGGGTCTTCTTCTTCTTTGGAGGGATCTGGTAGCTTTTTAGCTCTGTCTCAGCCCTTTCAAAACAATCCAACGGTTTATGGATCTAACCCTTTTGTGGTAGGATCTTCCGGGATTGTTCCGAAAAAGGCAAAGAACAAACAAAGGAAGCGTCCTACTAAAAATGTCTGAAAGCCGAGACCATTGGATCCAAATCTTCAAGAGCTGCGGGTATATGTTAGTATGGGAGCTGAGAAGGGTTTTAAAGACAAAAGAAAAGCAGTTGATGAGGGTACAAGCACTGTAAAATCGACAAAGCTTAATCCTCAAGAGGTGAACCCAAAGGGGGGGGGGGTTTGTCTAATGCCCAATGAGCATATTAAGCTGGAATTGTCAAGGATTGGAACGGTCTCATGAATTGACAATTCCTCGTCTCAAGGAGTTGCGTAAAAAACACTTCCCTGAGATATTGTTCTTGATGGAAACGATGCATAAGAGAAATGTCTTGGTAAATTTACAAGTATGGCTGGGGTATGATCAAGTTTTTACAGTGGACCTGATTGGAAGATGTGGCGGTCTTGCTGTCTTTTGGAAGAGTAGTGTAAAGGTAGACTTTAAGTTTTTTGATAAAAAATCTGTTGGATGCTCAAGTTCAACTTGGAGCTGCCAACTTTTTTGTGTCATGTGTATATGGAGATCCAGATAGAAGCAAGAGATCAGTGGTTTGGGAAAGGCTTTCCAGAATTGGTGTTGGTAGAAGAGATAGATGATGTGTCTTGGGTGATTTTAATGAGCTAATGCATAATGGTGAAAACCTGGGAGGACCTAGAAGATCAGACAATGATTCCAAAGACTTTATTGAGATGATCAGAGTTTGTGGGCTGGTTGAGATGCCTAGTAATGAAACAAGTTCACTTGGGCTGGCAGGAGAGGTGATCATTGGATCCAATGTCGACTGGACAAAGCTTTTGGTAAGGATGACTGGTTTAAGACCTTCCCGGTTTCTAATCAAAGTTTTTAGGACATCAGAGGTTCAGACCACAGACCTGTTCTTGTCAAGCTGATGACTTCTCAAGACTCTTACAAAGGGTAGTTTAGGTTTGATAAGAGGTTCTTGCACAAGGCTGAGGTGCGTGATGCAATTGCAAAGGCTTGGATGCCTAGATATTCTGGTTTTAATATCTCTGTTGCAGAAAGACTTAGAGTTTGCAGGAAAGCTTTAAGTGCTTGGAAAAAAAGAACTCCTTGAATTCTCAGGACACGATTCAGCAACTAGAGGTGGCTCTAGAGAAAGAGCAATCTGATTGTTGGCCTAATATCCAGAAACTGTTTCTTTTAAAACGGGATTTGGCCAGGGCCTATAGAGAGGAGGAATCCTATTGGAAACTAGAAAAGCAGGCAAAAATGGTTAAGGAGTGGAAATCGCAACTCTAATTAAATACTTCCATGCTGCGGTGAAAGAAAATAGACAAAGGAAGCGAATTGAAAGACTGAAGGATGTCAATGGCAACATGCAGGAGTCTGAAGCAGCAAAAGGAGAGGTGGCTGCTGCCTATTTTCAGTCTCTCTTTACTTCTTCAATTCCCGCTAGCTTTCATGATTGGTTTGCTGGAATGGCACCGCGTGTTTCTGATCTCATGAATGCTGAACTTATTAAAACAGTTAGTGATGAGGAAATAAAAGAGGCAACTTTCTCTATTAAACCTTCTACAGCTCCAGGTCCTGATGGGATGTCTATAATGTTTTTCCAGAATTACTAGAGTATCGTTGGTCCTCAAGTTATTGCTGAAGTCCAAAAGTTTTTTGTTGAAGGTGTGCTTCCAGCTGAATGGAACTATACGCATCTGTGTTTGATTCCAAAGACTCATCATCCTACTGAGATGTCAAACTTATGACCAATTAGCTTGTGTTTGGTCCTTTACAAAATCATTTCCAAGATTATTGTGAAGAGAGTTCAGCCTTTCCTGCCTCTAATTGTGTCTGATACGCAATCTGCATTCGTCTCTGAAAGACTTATCACTGACAACATTTTAGTGGCTCATGAATTGGTTCATAGTCTCAGGGTTCATCCACTGATTTCTTCTGAGTTCATGGCGGTTAAGTCAGACATGTCAAAAGCATATGACAGAGTGGAATGGTGCTATTTGAGATCGTTACTTATTGCGTTAGATTTTGATATCAAATGGGTTTCTTGGATTATGACTTGTGTGTCAACAGTGAAGTACTCAATGCTCATTAATGATAACCCTTTTGGTATGATCATTCCACCGAGAGGATTAAGGCAAGGTGATCCCTTATCACCTTTTCTTTTTGTGCTATGTACTGAAGGTTTGTCATACTTACTGAACAAAGCTCAAAGTGAAGAAAAGTTAGAAGGCATTCAATTCAGCCCTGATGGGCCGGCTGTCCATCAATTGCTTTTTGTGGATGATTCTCTTTTCCTTTGTAAAGCTTCTCTTGATCAGAGCCTGGTCCTACAGAATATTTTGAGAACATATGGCAATGCGACTGGTCAGACTATTAACCTTAGTAAGTCTTCTATTACTTTTGGAGCAAAGGTAGGGGCTGCAGATAAAGTGAGTATTCAAAAGTGCTTAGGAATTGCAACTGAGGATGGCGCGGGGACATACCTTGGGTTACCCGAGTGTTTTAGTGGGGTCAAAAGTTGACATGCTTGATTATTTGAAGGATAGGCTAAAGTCCAAGCTATCGGGTTGGCAGCGGTGTTGGAGAGAGGACGGTGGTAAACTTCTCGCGGTTTGGCACCAGAAGCAAGGCATTTAGATCCCTCATTGTGTCCTCCTGTAGCTCCGGCAACATTGGTTCTAAAGTATCCTGGAAATTATTCCCTTGAGATGATGGATGAGACTGAGCCTGAGAGTGATGAAGTGGAGATCCTGGAGGATCCACTTGTTCAGGAGGTTGCTGTCTAGGATCCCGAGAAGGTTGTTGTCGAGGTTCCTGTTGTCGAGAAGGTTGCTGTCTAGGATCCCGAGAAGGTTGTTGTCGAGAAGGTTGCTGTCGAGGCTGTGCCTGCTGTCGAGGTTGTTCCTGCTGGACTTCTTGTTCAGACAACCCATGGTCTTCACGTGGTTGATTCACCGAGCTCTGGAAAAGCCTTTGTGGCGGTGGATAGTCCCGGAAATGAGAAGCTCTTGACGTAGACAGTTGAGGGGAAACGCGGACTGGCTGGACTTGCTCAAGGGGCGACTCAGGCTGAGGAATCTGCTCCTCTGGCGCCGGCGTGAACTCGTATTGAGGAGGTAAAGGGTTTTTTCTTTTCGATGTGTTGGGTTTGGAACCGACTGGCCTCTGAGACACATTTGGAATGGATAATCTCTTGCGGCCTCGACGTTTGTTGTTAGCTAGAGGCATGGCTAGATCGATTTGAGAATGAGCAAGAGATTTGAGGAAGAGATTGACGAAGAGATTCGATTTGTAGAACGAAATCAGGGTTTCGATGAGGGATTTGATTAGAGATTCGATTTGAGACTAAGGAAGAGATTGAGGAAGAGATTGAGGAAGGAGAAGAGAGTGAGAATGAAATTAGGGTTTCTGATTCCCTTTGTGCGTTTTCTTCAGAGGGAAAACGAGTGGGCATGCCGAATTGGGCTTAAAATTTGGGTTTGGTTTCGCGGTTTTTATTAAACCCAAAATTTTCACTATAGTCGCTAATTTGTCGCCAAATAGTCGCTATTTTAATTTTAATTTTAATTTTAATTTTTAAGAGTATAAAGTTTAATTTTTATAGTTTATAATAATTGTATTGATGGTTTAGAAACTTTAATTTATAAGTAAATGGTTTTTATTTGTAAAAATATATAATGGTTAATTATTAGTTTTTATGCTTTCTTAATTAATTCTAAGATACAGAATAAAAAATTTCATATTTGTAGTTTATGTGATTTAACTTTTGGAGGTATATATATAGATAATGTTATATATTATAAGTTTTAATTATAGGGATATTAAGTTTTAAAAAATTATAACTAGTGTTTGATTTAGTTATTGGGGTTTATTTAAGGGTTAGGGTCTATATTTAGGGTTAGGATATAAGTTTCAAAATCTTAATTTGGTATCTATGTATATAGATTTAGGTTACTTAAATAGCTACTGATTTCCGACTAAAAGGCGATTGAGATAGCGACTCGGTTATATAGTCGCTAAATGGCGACTCATGAACGACTAATCACAAATAGTCGTATAATAGTCGCCAAATAGTGGCTATACAGTCACAAAATTAAGCGACTACTTCTATAGTCGTTATGCATAGTCGGCAATCAGCTGTTTTCTTGTAGTGTAAATACTTCCATGCTGCGGTGAAAGAAAATAGACAAAGGAAGCGAATTGAAAGACTGAAGGATGTCAATGGCAACATGCAGGAGTCTGAAGCAGCAAAAGGAGAGGTGGCTGCTGCCTATTTTCAGTCTCTCTTTACTTCTTCAATTCCCGCTAGCTTTCATGATTGGTTTGCTGGAATGGCACTGCGTGTTTCTGATCTCATGAATGCTGAACTTATTAAAAGAGTTAGTGATGAGGAAATAAAAGAGGCAACTTTCTCTATTAAACCTTCTACAGCTCCAGGTCCTGATGGGATGTCTATAATGTTTTTCCAGAATTACTAGAGTATCGTTGGTCCTCAAGTTATTGCTGAAGTCCAAAAGTTTTTTGTTGAAGGTGTGCTTCCAGCTGAATGGAACTATACGCATCTGTGTTTGATTCCAAAGACTCATCATCCTACTGAGATGTCAAACTTATGACCAATTAGCTTGTGTTTGGTCCTTTACAAAATCATTTCCAAGATTATTGTGAAGAGAGTTCAGCCTTTCCTGCCTCTAATTGTGTCTGATACGCAATCTGCATTCGTCTCTGAAAGACTTATCACTGACAACATTTTAGTGGCTCATGAATTGGTTCATAGTCTCAGGGTTCATCCACTGATTTCTTCTGAGTTCATGGCGGTTAAGTCAGACATGTCAAAAGCATATGACAGAGTGGAATGGTGCTATTTGAGATCGTTACTTATTGCGTTAGATTTTGATATCAAATGGGTTTCTTGGATTATGACTTGTGTGTCAACAGTGAAGTACTCAATGCTCATTAATGATAACCCTTTTGGTATGATCATTCCACCGAGAGGATTAAGGCAAGGTGATCCCTTATCACCTTTTCTTTTTGTGCTATGTACTGAAGGTTTGTCATACTTACTGAACAAAGCTCAAAGTGAAGAAAAGTTAGAAGGCATTCAATTCAGCCCTGATGGGCCGGCTGTCCATCAATTGCTTTTTGTGGATGATTCTCTTTTCCTTTGTAAAGCTTCTCTTGATCAGAGCCTGGTCCTACAGAATATTTTGAGAACATATGGCAATGCGACTGGTCAGACTATTAACCTTAGTAAGTCTTCTATTACTTTTGGAGCAAAGGTAGGGGCTGCAGATAAAGTGAGTATTCAAAAGTGCTTAGGAATTGCAACTGAGGATGGCGCGGGGACATACCTTGGGTTACCCGAGTGTTTTAGTGGGGTCAAAAGTTGACATGCTTGATTATTTGAAGGATAGGCTAAAGTCCAAGCTATCGGGTTGGTTCTCACGATGCCTCTCCCAAGGTGGAAAAGAAGTGCTTTTAAAATCAGTGGCACTTGCTATGCCGGTTTTCGCAATGTCTTGTTTTAAGCTCCCTAAAACTACTTGTGAAAATTTGGAAAGTGCAATGGCTTCGTTTTGGTGGAATGCAGAAGAGTACTCAAGGAAAATTCATTGGCAAAGTTGGAAAAGATTATGTCTCTCAAAAGATCTTGGTGGATTGGGGTTTCGAAATATTGAAACTTTCAATCAAGCCCTTTTAGCTAAACAAGCCTGGAGACTGCTGCAGTCGCCTTTTTGCCTCCTGTCCAGAATCATGAAAAGCATGTATTTTGCTGAGTCTGAGTTTCTTGATGCTACTTTGTGCCAACGGCCTTCTTATGCTTGGAGAAGTATTTTGTTTGGTCGTGAGCTTTTGGTAAAAGGGCTGAGCAGAAGGGTGGGTAATGGTACATCAATTTTTGTTTGGACTGATCTCTGGCTTGAGGATGATGATTTAATTTGCGGGCTCCTTTGAGGATGAATCAGTTTTTTAATGTTGGCTTAAAGGTCTGTGATTTAATTGATCCCAAGTAGTGGTTTCTGGGATTCAGCTACTCTTGAGGAGCATTTCTTTCACCAAGACATATCAATTATTAAGGCTCTCAAACCTGTCTTTGCTCAAGAGGATTACTATGTTTGGAAGCATAACAAAAGCGGTGATTTTTCGGTTAAATCAGCTTATTGGCTTGCTGACCAAGAAAGGAGTGCTAAACTGGTTGAAGATGCTTCTGTTCTTCCTTTCAACGCTTGACCTGAAAAAAGAAGTGTGGTCTCTGCAAACTGACCCTAAAATAAAGATTTTTCTTTGGAAAGCTTTAAGTGGAGCCTTACCAGTGGCTCAAGCTCTAAATTGCAGAGGTATGAGAGTGGACGATAGCTGTCAAATTTGTGGAGAGGCTGGTGATACAATTAACCACTCTCTGTTTTTGTGCTCTCAAACTAGACAGGTTTGGGCTTTATCTGACTATCCGTCTCCTCAGCTAGGTTTCTCAAACAGCTCTGTTTTTTCCAATGTTTTCCACCTTCTAAGTAATAGAAATAACAAGGATTGGCCTATTGCTTTGAGATTAAGTTTTCCTTGGATTATTTGGAGGATTTGGAAGAACAGAAACTGTCTCATTTATGAAGGGAGGAGATTCACAGCTTTGGAATCGGTGGAAAAAATCAGAGCTGATGTGACTGAATGGTTTGAGGCACAATGTGTTGATCCCGATGGTGGTTCCTTGCTTCTCCAATCCTCGGCTAGGGCTGCACAGAGTGGTTATCAAATGGTGGTGAAAGTTTGGGAAAAACCGTCGTGCAATTGGTTCAAATGTAATGTGGGATCTTCATGGTAAAAAAGAAATCAGATTGCAGGGGGTGCCTGGGTGTTAAGAGATGAGTTGAGAGTGGTTCTTTTTCACAGTCGCAGGGCTTTCTCTTGAATAAGAAGTGATGAGGATGCTAAGCTAAGTTCTGCTTTGGGCTATCGAAAGCATGGCCAATCACAAAGTGGTGACAGTGGTTTTTGCTTGCCAAGAGAAGTGTTTTGTTGAGGCAGCCATTAGGCCAATGGCATGGCCTTCTTTTAAAGCTCAGTCTGGAGCTATAAAGAGTTTTTTGCGTTCCATTCCGGAGTGGAAGTTGGTTTTGGAAACCAAGACTTGCGGTTACAATCTTATGTTGCTGTTGGCTTTCCGGCTTGGCTTTCAAGTGTTTTCGAATCTGAAAGGATTTGCCCCTCTGTTTGTTAATGCAGTTTCTGTCCGTGGTTACTAATTCTTTTGTGAATCTGCATTTTTGTATTGAACCCCAATCTATGGTGTTGGTGGTTTAGTGTAGGAGTTATAGGGTTGGAAGTTTTCTGTTCTCCTTGTTTCTTTCCTCACTTGTTGTAACGTTTCATTGCCATTTTAATGGCTTTGTCAATATATATTTACCAGATGACCAAAAAAAAAAGTTATGTACCTGCCACATCAACTTTATGTTAGAAGACACCCCATTTTTAAAAAACACCCATTCAAATTAAAATATATAATACACATCAACATTTTAAAGTTTATGATAGTGACACATGAATTTCTAGTTTATTCAAAGAAAAAACAAAAACACATGAATACCTCATTGTTTCTTCTAGATCTTTTTTTTTTCACGGCATCATGTCTTCTATGTTCAAGCTAGCTGTTCTAGAGTTGAGACATAATTAATTTTAAATATCTTTCTATTTCACTTCTAACTCATTGTTGAGACTGCCCCGTATGATTATCTATGTAATCTCGTCGTTTTCAATCTCCAGCTAGGTTCTATAGATTTTTGTTTAAATTATTTTCTTCTTCCAAAATTAAAAATTTTATAGAAAACCCAGATTTTTAGTAGAAATCAGGGTTTATAATTTCTTACTTGGTTTTTAGTAGATATGATGGTTTATATTTTCTTTTCATTCATCAGACTGAAACATGAAACGTCAGAAGTCTCACAAAGTGACATTGGCTAAATGATCAAAAATAACATTTAGTTGTGGAAATTGACTACTTGAATTTGGACAAAGCTTTTACCAAGACCCGATCACATCATTACGAGACGTGAATACAAGCACATTAAATTCGACAACAAGACATCATATTTAAGATTAAATAGATTGAAGGATTGATATTATTTTTACGACGTTTACAAAATCAAGATTTGGTCATGATTGCTGAACTGATGCAAGAGTTTAGCTCAAAAACTATTGAATTGGTGAATTAGACACCAATATAGTTCCAAAACTATTTCTAATTTGAAATTACATTTAACATAAAAAATATTAAACATTAAATATATATATATATATATATATATATATATATATATCAATTAGAGTGGATACTTATCGAACTAAAATAAAAACTTATCACTTAAAATTGTTATTCTTCGAAATCAAAATGAAAGGTAAACAATAGAAGGGAGAAAATCTTTGAATTTATTATCCGTGGATTTTTTGCTCATTTAGTCTTAATTACTACTAAAATGAAATGTAAACAGTAGAAGAGAGAAAATCTTTTGTTTTATTCAATAAATTTAATTTCTAATTTTTTGTAATATCTTTCTTTATAAAGAAGAAAAAGATGTGCAAGAATACCATTTCTGATAAATAAATTAAGAAACTA